AGAAACCTCTATCTCTCAGGTTTTTCCTTGTTTCTTTGGCTGTAAGTATAACATTTTTCTAATTTCTACATTACACATTTCTTGCAGGACCTATTGCAAAAAATAATACAACTATAAAAAAGATTAGAAAGCTGATTTCAAGAATTAAATGTGAGCAGATTGGCTATGAGACGAATAGGATCAGGGAAAATAATGCCTTACAAATGTTTGAGGTTTGGAAGGATATGTGAGCAACCCCTGAAAAGAAACATTTTGAATGTTTGAGGAAACCATGTATTTTGGAGAAGTTTCTTCAGGGAATACTCATTTCCTTCTGTAAACTTATGCCCTATGTTTTGTTTTAAACATGGAAAACTGGAATTAAAAACCCCTGAAAAAACTAAAGTACTGTTAAAATAATCTTAATAAGTTGCAGGCTGGCATTACTGCATCCTGCTGTGTTAAGAAGCAAAGCTTGAGTCTGACTTGAATCACTGTGTAAGGCTCAAAGTTAGGAACTGTAGGATAATGTTCTGGCTTCCAAGGAAAGCTTCAGGTATTGTTTCAGATCAAGCACTTTGTGGCAACTGGCCTACTGTGATACTATACTCTGAAGTGCAGTATCCCTTTCAGGATGTTTAAATACAGCTAATAAAACAAGGTAACAGAAAGGACCGTTCTGTACTGCCCAGCAGTAGCAGCCAAGACTACCTGTGAATCTCCACAGTATCCACAACAACCTGCAGATCTTATCAGCTGGCCAAGAAGCACATGAACGCACATAATGGGATGCAGATAATGTGAATGAATGGAAACAGACATGTTGGTCATATGATTTCCTGTTTGTACATTTTCATGGTGACACTGGGCAAAGAATGCTGGCCCTCATCTGAATTCCTTCAGTGGGCTACTTGACATTGCCTAGATATGCAAGAGGAGCACAGAATGAGGAAGTTCCTGGGATCACAGAGACTTCTGACAAACTTCTACCCCCTGGAGTGATGTATGGCCATTTTAGCTGATGGTTGAGGAGCATTGTACATAAAGAAGTGTCAAGGAAAAATCCATACAAGACTTGAGCAGGAAGCTTTGGAAAAAACAAAGGTGGCTGTAGCCTTGCACAACAGTGATAGGAATGCATCATGTTCTTTGTCTTCCTTCAGAAAGGTTAAGTAAATATGCACAAATATGTTTGATTTCTACTCCAAGAGAGGAATAGCTGGATTGTGTCCTACACTGCCGTTAGAAGATGGTCCCTCAGGATCCTACTCCCACTCAGCTTTCAAGGAAGACAGCTTGTCAGGTGGCCCTGATAGCTTTTATTGTGGATAGAAGTTCTGCTGTTGAAGAGGTTTGCTTAAGGCCTTGTTTGGGCTCCTGGCCTTTCACCAAGATTTAGAAGAAACAGATACTCCTACAGTAGGTGTTAGCTCTACTAAGAAAAGTCTTTTGATCTATCTTGTTTATCCATTAAACAGGCATAGTGTCTGTCAGAGAAGTGGGGGAAAAAAGTGTTCCTTGGGTTGCCTTATCCTACACTGCTACTACCATTGCCCAGCCAAGTTAAGACCACATGTAGGTGTGAATGGGTACTTGCATGCCCCTAGTTCATTTTTTGGGACAGTTATGGTTCATTTTAGCACATCAGCCAGTAAGAAGATTCCAAAGATGAAGGAGGCTGGAAGCTTGTCACTTCTGGCAACTCAAGAAAAGCTGTACTCCATTAGTGGTTCAGCAATTGCAGAAGGCTGGGTACAGGTGAGGGAAATTACCCCCTGTCAGTGGAGGCACTGGGGCCACCTGAACATTCATCTGTCTGCACAGATGGTAATTACCAGAGACTGTCCCCTGGGTAGGGCAGAGGCACCCCTCTGCTAATCTGACTTGATGTCTGGGGAGATGTGAAAAGCCAGCCAAGGACTGTCTGGCCCTCTATTACACTGTGCTGAACCTCAGAGGGATGAGAAGGGCTGAAAACAAAAGGAAAGTGAAGGAAAACATGGACCCACTGCTCAGTGGGGGAGGGAACCAAATGACAAAGCATATGGAAAAGAATGAGATGTTGGGTTATGAAGGAGACATTGTTACTAACCTTAAATTTCATTGGAAGTTATGGGTAAGGTCTGTTTGGCCTCCCAGTTCTCTGAGCCTTCTAGGGGAGTTGGTGGGGAATGTAACGTTACCCACAGCAGTGGAGGATGCAGCTAGGGAGTACTTGGACAGATTGGGCATATACAAGTCCGTGGTGTCCTAGGATGGGATGCATCCTTGCACGTGGAGGGAGTTAGCCAATGTCACTGTAAGGCTGTGCTCTGTCATCTTTGAAAGATCATGGTGATCAGGGAAGGATCCTGGTGACTACAAGAAGGCAAACATTGCACCTGTCCTAAGAAGGGCAAGAAGCAGGATATAGGGAAATAGAGACTAATCGGTTTCATTTTAGCCTGTGGAAGGGTTGTGGAGCAAATCTTTCTCAAAGCTGTTTTCAGGGACATGAAGGATACAATGTCTTGGAACAGCCAGCACAGATTTACTGAGGGGAGATCATGCCTGATACGCCTGTTGCCTTCTGCAGTGAGATGGCTGGCTGTGTGGCTAAAGGGCAGAGTTGTATGACTTTGGCAGAGCCATTGACATAGTCTCTTGCAGTATCCTGATAGCCTAACTGCAGAGAGATATGGGCTGGAGAAGTGTAGAAAGATGTGGCTGGAAAATTCCCTGGGTCTTTGGGCTTAAAGGATGATAGTAACACAAATTCCAGCTGGTGCCCCTGAGAGATTGGTACTGGACTCGATACTGTGTAACGTCCTTGTTAACAACCTGGATGGTGGGATTGAATGTGCTCTCAGCAAGTTCGCAGGCAGAGTGGTTGGTATCTTGGAGGGCAGGGCTGCTATTCAGAGAGAGCCAGACAGGTTGGGAAATGTGCTGCCGGAACTATCGTGATGTTCCACAAAGGCAAACGCAAAGTCTGTCATTTTATAGGATAACCACATAGAGCATCCAGGCTGGGAGCTGGCTGGGTGGAAAGCAGTTTTGTAGGAAAGGACCTGGAAATCCTGGCAGACAGCCAATCATGTATTGAGCTGTAATAGCAGGGGTGTAGCCAGAAGGTCAAGAGAAGTAAGGGGTTATTGCCCTCTGTTTGGCACATGTGATATTGCAGCTGCAGGACTGTGTCCAGTTTTGACTCCCCAAAATACTGGAGTACTGCAGCAGGATACCTAGATGCCTGGGGGCTGAAACACATGATCTGTGAAGAGAAGATGAGGGAGCTTAGCTTCAGCGAGAGAGATTGAAGGGGAGATTCTATTGCTTTCTACAGCTATCTAGTGGTAGGATGTAGAGAAGATGGAGCCAACTCTTCTTAGAGGATTCACACAGGAACGACATAGTAAAACATGCTAATCCTTGGAAAAGTAGTGACATGGGGACCTTAACTTTTTTTATTAAAACCAAAAAAGTAGGAAAATGAGCTTTCAATTAAAAAGCGAGGAGGAGGGCTTATCTTGAAAGCCATAAGATCAATTAATATGTTTTCAGCGATGAAAAAGCCAATTACTTGGATTTTCAAATTTCTTTTGAAGAGCAGCTGCATAGTTATATTACTGGAATTAATTTAATTTAGTGTTGCTTTGGCTTTTCCTTGATTCAGCAACATACTGCTTTGAAAGACTCCAGGATGAATAATGAAAGTAGTGCTGCAAAGCAGCAGTCAATAGATCAAATCTAGGGAGGTATGTGCAAAGCTTAGATTTGAGGTGCCATAGGAGTGCTGACATTCATGCATGTTCTGATTTATACAGTATTGACAGGGTACTTTGAAGATTAATATGCTCACACTGCTGATTTTATTCTTGTAAGGCCTGTTATAAAGTTGTGGTTTTGGTTTTTTCATTGTACTCATTTTCATAACATGTTGCTTGGGTCTTGTGTTCAGAGATCCATTCTGTTTGAAACACTAGGTCGTGTAAGAGTATTTCAGCCTTTAAGCAAGCAGGTCTCTGACCCCGTAATCGCTGTGGGTATTTGGGAGGGAGGTTCTGCATCAGGTAAAAATCAGGTTTTTGATGCATGAAAATATTTTCAGTCTCTTAATACTATTTGCTATTGATGAGCCTGGATGTTTCCCTTCAGGTGCTTCAACAGTCCTCTTGTGATTTTGTTTTCACATCTAATGCAGAGAGAGAGAAAAAGGTTTTTGTTTGGGTTTTGTTGTTGTTGGGTTGTTTTGTTTGTTTTATTTTGTGCTGTGAGTTACTGTGCTGTTCACTGTGTTTCTTCACCAGTGTATTGAGACGTACTATTACCCTTCTCACTCAGTTGGCAAAAGGGATGGCATCTAATGCAGCTCTGGAAACACAAGTGAACGATGCTGCGGAAGCAGCCAGAAAATACATGGCTGAAAATGAAAGGCTGCAGGAGGTATCTTTGAACTTTTTAGTTGTTTTCGTAATGAACAAGTAGTTAGTACAAAATACTCTGGGGGTGGTTTGCTACTGAATAATGTTCACTGATTTTTCTTCTTCTGGTGGAAAAAGGAAGTGCAGTGTTCTCAGAGTATGTAATTCAGAATACAAATTTCAGTAGCATTTTATTAACAAAGGAAACTAAAGTAATCAAATAAAAAGGAAGTTCTGTCTTTTCAGTACAAATTTCATCATAGTAATAGCGTTCTTAAAATATCTCTCTTAATTTAATCATAGCAAAGTAGGGGTTGACACTAAATTTATTCTTTTAATCCTAAACAGTTGGCTGTTTAGGTCAGGATTATAGCAGTCCACTACAGAAAAGCCTACAGTATAGCTGTTTCTTCTAAACATGACATGCTCCAGTTTTGAAATATCTTTTCTAACATAAAATTGGTCTTTTGTATTTATTGTATTTTGTATTCTTGCTTCTGTTTTTATGGTGGGTCAGCCAATTTACCAATACCTTCCTTTCTCAGTAAGGCACTGGCATAGTGTTGTGGCTTAACCCAACAGACACCTAAACATTACACAGCCCTTCGCTCATTCCTACCCCCCCAAGTGGTATGAGGGAGACAGTGGGGAGGGGGGGTATGCAAGTAAAATTCGTGGGTTGAGATAAAGGCAGTTTACTAGGACAGAAAAGGAAGGGAAAATAATAATCAGATGATAAAATAGCATACAAAACAAGTGATGCACAATGCAATTGCTCACCACCTGCCGACCGATGCCCAGCCAGCTCCCGAGCAGCGGTCCCCAGCCAGCTTTCCCCCTGGTTCGTGTACTGAGCATGATGTCAAAGGTATGAATATCCCTTTGGCCAATTGGAGTCAGCTGTCCTGCCTGTGTCCCCTCCCAGCTTCTTGTGCTCCCCCAGCTTCCTTGTTGGCAGGGCAGTAGGAGAAGCTGAAAAGTTCTTGACCTAGTGTAAGTACTGCTCAACAACAACTAAATCATCAGTGTGTTATCAATGCTATTCTCATCCTAAATCCAAAACATGCACTATACCAGCTACTAGGAAGAAAATTAACTCTGTCCCAGCCAAAAGCAGGACGTGTAGTATTAATGAGGATTTTACAAAATTTTTTACTTAAAATACTACTTTTGTGAGAAGAATGGAGAAAAGTAAGCTGTCATTTGTTTGTTGTGCTGCAATGTACAGTTGTATGCAGGAGAGGAAGTCAGCAAAGATAATAAGGATAATTGTATGAAATGTTTCCTCATAACTGGTTAGCTTGACTTCTGTTGGAAGAGATTGAACCATAATCTAGAGTGCAGATAGCCAGGATATGAAGACTTTTTACAGCATTCTTCAGTCTGGCACATTGTCAAAACAAAATTCACTGCAGGTGTGCACTGGTCTCCTTCCAGTTTGTAGCAGTGTTTATAGTTACCTGCACTGTATTTTTTTTTTTTTAATGAATCTTCAGACAAAGGGAACAGACTGGACAAAAAGTACTAGAAGAGATGCAAAAAAATCCAGTTGTTTGAGAGGTGTCCTAAAACAAGGTTCACTGGAGTGTGTGTTAGGTATTTCTCAAATATTAAATGAATCATTCTGGGATTTGGTATTTTGTCAAAATGATCCAAAGTCCCTCTTTCAGACATAGAATTTGTCTTTACTGCATGTTGCTACTTCCCTCCCACCCCCCCGTCCTGTTGGGACTTGGCCAAAAGTTCTCTTTTCGTTCTGCTTTCACGTTCTCTTAGCAACACTTAGCTGCTTGTAAGTGATAGCCAGAAACTGGAAACTGTATTCCTGTCTGTTTCTATTTGTGTGTTTAATTGCATGGTTTGCAAAACCAGTGGTAGCCACAGGCACGGCCAGCATGCTGTGGCTGCATCGTCATTGCACTGGAAATGCATAGTGTTCAGAACTGGCTTATTTTAACTTCATAGTCACTGTGATTTAGGCTTGGCCCCCTGCATTTGTGTTCATTTATAAGCATGCTTCATTCCACCATCAGAGAGAGGTAAGAGCAATTGCACAGAGGGCACAGGCTGTGAGTAGAAACACTGTAAGTTTACTCTAGTGTGCTAGGCCTGCACTGTCTCCTGGTCAGCGTTTTCATGGAGCACAGGACTTAGGATAAACATTTACAGAAATAACTGTTCGTGTATTAATAGAAAGAAGTGAGTACAAAGTAGAGAAGGCAATCTGTGGCCAGCAGTCAAATGCAGTCTCTACTCTTTGGTTAAATTGGTTCTGGAAAATTTTCTTCAGCTCTTTTCTTTGGATTATTTACCAGTCTTTATAAACAGTTCTTTTCCTTCTTCCTAAAGTTGTCTTTCCCTTCTGCTCCCACCTGTGCCCAGTAAGCTCAAATACCACAAGTTCACCTAACATCATCTTTTGTAACAGAGATGGTGCTTGGTTGGATAATAGAGGTTGTATGAGCAAAGGGTCTAACTAAGGGGTCTAGCCCTTAACATAGAATCATAGAATGGTTTGGGTTGGAAGGGACCTTAAAGATCATCTAGTTCCAGCCCCCCTGCTATGGGCAGGGACACCTTCCACTAGACCAGGTTACTCAAAGCCACATCCAGCCTGGCCTTGAAGACAGCCAGGGATGGGGCATCCACAACATCTCTGGGCAACCTGTTCCTGTGCCTCACCACCCTCTCTGTGAAGAATTTCTTCCTGATATCTAATCTAAACCTCCCTGATTTCACTTTGTACCCATTACCCCTTGTCCTATCACTACAGGCTCTTGTAAAAAGTCCTCTCCCAGTACTCTTGTAAGCCCCCTTCAGATACTGGAAAGCTGCAATGAGGTCTCCTCGGAGCCTCCTCTTCTCCAGGCTGAACAAGCCCAATTCTTGCAGCCTTTCGTCATAGGAGAGGTGCTCCAGCCCTCTGATCATCTTCGTGGCCTCCTCTGGATTCACTCCAAGTGGGCAATATCCTTCTGATGTTGAGGGTTCCACAGCTGAATGCAGCACTCCAGGTGGGGTCTCACCAGAGCAGAGTACAGGGGCAGAATCACCTCCCTCGACCTGCTGGCCACACTTCTCTGGATAGGATACTTTGTCATCAATAGCAATTGCCTTAATGGTAAGAGTGTGCTTAAGTACAGTAGAACACTCCCTGTACTCTGAAAATGTTGGCTCTGTAAGTATTAGACAAGAGCAGGGCTCTTCCTGAATCCTTTCCTAGGTGTGGGTTTTTTTTTTTTTCTTGAATTTCAGTGGAAATCTAATCTGCATGTTGAGGACTGAAGAAGTAGCTGCAGACCATTAAGGAGAGATTTGTGATGTATTACATGATTTAAATCAGAATAAATTATTAGAACAAGTCGCACATAAACATGGCAGTGTTCTGTCACTTGCAGTCCCAGTGTATGTCTTCTGGAAAAGCCATTTATAGCCTAAACAGAAGCTGTGGGCTTCACGCAGAGAAACAAAATACTCTTACACAGGAGATAATGCCATACTGTTCCAAGTGTGCCATTATTATCAACTTAAAACATTGATAGTTTTTTTTCCCTCTTCCTCCCCCACCCCAAATGACATATCTGCCTGTGTCATGTTGGCATTTGATAAAACCAGTCACTTTGCAAGATCAAGGCTCACATTCTCTGGTGGTTTTGGCATTAACGTCAGACTAATGAAAACAAAACTAACTAACAACTGTGGTTTTTAATAGGCCTTGAGCGAAAAAGGAAGCAGTAAAAATAAAGAGTCAGCAGAAGCAACTGATGAAAAGTTGAAGAAGGAAGTTGAATATCTGAAAGAAGAGCTACAGAAGACATCAGATGGCAAGTATTGGTTAGGACTCTGCAATTAAAAAGATGATTTCAACAGTGGTGTTAAAAATGTATTCTAGGTATGGCATTAACTGACTATCAGTTTACAGAACGCTTGGGGTTTCTTTACATTTGACTAAGAACTGGAAAAACATGCCACTGCTATCCCCATATTTTAGTAAATATTGTCATTATGAAAATGACTACAGTGTAATTTGAACACCTCAGATAAATTGTATTTATCTGATCATCCATGTCATGCATATCAATCCCCGTATAAAATGGGGAAGTATGTGGTTGAGGCTTTTTCTGTAAAGGAAGGTTTCAGCCAGATAGCAGAGAAGTCCTTGCCTACTATTCTAAATGTATATGTCTCCTGCAGCAGAGGTGTGAGAGGGTTTTTTGTCTACAAGGAAACATGCCTTGCAATTTGTAACATAATACTTCTGTTAGCAGGTTCCGTGTTTAAGGTTTTGGTTGTCAAAACTTCTTTCTTGGCAACCCAAATTGAGATGGAAGCAGATTTTACCTGTTTGGTTCTGTCTCACTGGGATCTGTCAAGGTGTGTGATACTTGACCTGCTCATCTGAAATCAGTGTTTTTAAGATAACACTGCCTGTGACCTTGTAAGCATTAATCAGATGTTCTGACTGTAACAAAATACAGATTTTTTTGGTACCAGATAGCATAGCATGTTTTCATCAAAACACAGCCCTACTTTCACGTTGCATGGCACTGCTGCAAAGCTGTAAAAATAACAACAAATATTTCATGAATCAATTTTTCTTGGAAAGATGAACAAAAACTGCAGAACAGCTGTTTTCAGCTGGGCTTAAAGCAACAAGAATCTTTAAACAGAGAGTCTCATTAGTTCACATTCTCAGGCAGGTTTGATGGTGGGTTTTCCCTCTCCTGCTGTTTTCTTAAAGGAAGGGGAGAAAACTGCCTTTGAAGTGACAGGATCAATGAAAACCTTGAATTCATATGTCTTATTTAGACTAAGAGGCGGTATGTAACACTAATATAGGGTAAGCTTTTCAGTCAGGAGGGCTAGAGAGCACTAAGGAATAAATACATTTACCACATGCTGCTCCAACTGCGTTCTCCCTGCGGGCTGTTGTCCATCCAAAAGATGTATAAATTAAGGCATGCTTGAGTCTTTTGTTGGGGGGTAACGTGGGGGAGAGAGGGTCTTTTTAAGGAATGAATAGAAAAGTAGTTACAACCCTTCCCCTGATGCCATCCCCCTCACCAGCCAAGGCAGAAAAGCCCATGGTTATATTAATTACATGTCAGCTAGACGGTGTCTATCTTACTTTTTCCTAAGTTTCTAAGCAAACTGATAGCCAGCAAGCCTAAAACACTTGGTAGTAAGCACATCTGTAGCACAGCTTTCTGTGGAGTGGTAGAGATTTAATATGAATTGAATTTACTCTGGGTTGTTTTTCTTTTTTTAAAACTCTTCCAGTGGAGCAGGTGAATGGAGTTTCATGCTTGCTGAGTGCGAGTAATGCATCACACAAAATCAAAGTTGAGATTGAAAAGCTTGTTTTACCTCTTTAGCAGTTTATTTCATGCCGTGGAGCTCACGGGACCAAAGTAATCTTTCCTTTGTGTTCACAAAGTCCAGTCCATGCAGTTTTGTGGGGGTATTTCGGAGGCAGGAGGGGGTTGAAGGGTGTGGGGCTGTTACACTGTAATGGAACAAGGCAGAACTAGTGTAAAAAGGAAAACTTTACTGGTTTGGGGTTTTTTTGGGAAGGGTTCTTTTTGTTTGTTTGTTTTTCAGCTATATCATCAGTAAGTCGTAAACTTGGATTTTGTTCTTGTTTGGTTGAGGTTTTGGCTTTTTTGCTGCTTGGATGAAAAAAAAAAAGTGGGGTATTTTTGATTCTGATTTTTGGTGGGGTTTTTTTCCCAAATATCCATTGTTATGGTCTGGTACATTTGTTAAGCTACTTATGTGTGGTGATAGGGTGATGTGTTACTTTATAGCAGGCCATGTGTTGAAAGGTGCATTACCTTAACATAGTGGCACCCAGGAGGAGTCCTAACTGTTAAGTCTGCTTCCTAAATGTAAGTCTGCTCCACGTTTGAATAGTGAAGTTTAGTGTCAGATTAGTGCTGTGACTTCAGGGAAGAACCAAATTTTCTCTGAGGTTTTGACCCGCTATTTACAACTTCTGGCAGGAAAATACTCTATGTAACCTATTTCTGAAATTCTGAGTGAAATTATAGTGTAGACATTAGTTATTGCAGACTTTCAGGAGACTCATCTCTAGTTCTTCAGCTTTCTACCTTTTAGAGGAAATACAGTCTACCTTACGCTTTTGGGGTTTTTTCTGTCCGCTTAACCATAAGTGAAATTCTAAGTTAAGAAGACATTTTGCCACCTGCTGTGCTCTGGCCAGGTGTGGAGGAAGAATGAAAATAGAAGACAGAGTGAGTAGTGAAATTACTCAAATCTGAGGAAAGGTTGGAAATGAGTGACAAAGACTGCAGCCAAATTTGTTTACTTTTTAGACGACTTTCCTATCCCCCTTGATGCCCTTTTTTGCTTTATTGTGGAAGTGAAGGGGGATACTTCTTCACTACTTTATTGCAGACCTACATACTGGGGGCTTTGTAGGCATCCAGCAGTGGGGCTAGCACTTTCAGAGCCTAAATCCATTTTTGGCATACCTGGACATGTAATAACATGACTGTTCAGAAACCTCCTGAGATGGTATTTTACTGATAACACTTGCGTATTATGAAAAACGTCTCACTGATACTTAGAAATAAATATACGTACTCTTAGGAGCACCCAGTGCAGATGAGAGAGTGTTTCTCCTGCTACACTTAGACATATTTCTAACAAAATGTTGATTCAGATAATTAAAGGCTCTCGGTTTGGCTGTTGGTCTCAGACCTATAGGAATTTTCTGGGGAAAGAAGAGATGCTATGATACTGTTTCATTTTGTTAGCTTTGAAAATGATCCAAAAAGCTACAGGAAAACAGTCAGTCTGCAACAGGACATGAGGTCAGAGTCAGAGAAGGTACGTGAAGCAACTGTCCTTACAGTGGTCCTTGGGTTGGGAGCAGGAACGGGACTTTCGGTGTTCTAACTTTCTCTTCCCACTCACACACTGTGGAAATGCTGATGTGTGAAATGTCCATTTGTTGTTATGGGACCCTCTGGGCAGGGGAGACTTCTGCAATGCTGTACTGTTTCACCTTCTGTCGGGTCTTTTTTTTTTTTTTTTTGGTGACACCATCCTGGTGCATGGTAAAGGCTACAGCTTCATTTACACAACAGAAATTTACTCAGAACATCTAGTATTGTTCAAGTCTGGCAGCAGAACATACTGGTAGGAGACTCCTGTCCAGCTCGTTGGCCCCTCACTCTCCGAACAGTGTATTGTGGCAGTGATGTGCACCTAAACCTTCTGCTGGCATCTGATGGAGCGTGACAGGCACTGCGGTCCCCAGCATCGGTGTGCAGTTATTGAGCTGTGACCCTATTGCGTCTTTGAGCTGAGCCTGTAAGTGCCACATTGAGACAAAATCCAGAGATCACCTTTTTTGCCTGTGCATGAAATCCATTAGGATTTCACTTTGTGAAAAGTGTTCTGACTCTCCAAAGTCACTTAGGTACTTTTGAACTTTAGTTCAACTTTTTCAGCAAATACACTATACATTGTTGTCGCAGGCGTACAGTGGGGCAGGAGGAAATTTCTGTGCATCCTTTAATGAGGTTTGTTTGGTGTACAGAATGTGTCACAAGTGCTTTTTGTTTCATGGTTGCATAGTGCTGTAGGAGACAGGAGCAAGAACAATAATTCATGTGGAGGGCTGGTTTTGAAATAGCTCTTAGTTGTTGACTATTCTAGAAAGTATGCGCATACAGATGTATGACTCTCACGTAAATGCTAAGATCGTTACATTTTAGAAAGATGCAACAATACAGACACTGGGAATACATTTCGTAGAGCTGTTGCTGCTGGTAAGAGTTCAGCTCAGCCTTTGTGTTGCTAGGCAGGCTGTGCCGTGTTTGAAAACTACATTTATGTTGAGCTCCACTGAAACACTCCAGTTTTTAAAAACAAACCAACCCCCCAAAAAAACCCAAACTATCAGCTTTCTTTTGTAAGCTGGGAATAGGAGGTGGAAGTTAAAAGAATTGGCCGCAGTCTCCTGTTAGCCAGTGGCAGAGGGAAGTTTAGAAACAAAGTCCATCTTCCTTAACTTTACTTTTTAACTGTGAGATCATAACCTTGGTGGGAGCCATGCACAATGTCACATGCAACAAGAGTTGCTCTTATTTGCTGATTCGAAGGGATGACACTGTGTACAGCAAGCGTAGGTTTGCTATACGAGGCCATTTATGCCATCTGAAGATGCTGCAACAACCCTTTTGTAACAAAATTTCACTTGAGGTTGTGGAAGGTACTTGGAGGAAATTTGTGTGTAATTTTTGGCCCTGCCTTCTCTTCTTAAACTTTATCTGGCCATTATGTATTAAGGAGAGAATTCAGAATTAGTACGGAATTACTTGACTAGAGTTGTGTTCCCAGCTTTACAGCGTATTTATTGGCAAATCTCTTGTCCTGTCAGTGCCTAAATTCTTAAGTGTGAATAGCTCTTTCTCAGCTTGAAGACTCTTAAAAGAGAGGGGTCTTTTCTTGGTCCTAAAGTACTGAAAATCATTTGGGTTTTAGACTTGTGTTGTGAACGATGCTAATTTAAGTTCCAGATCGTTTCCTTAGTAGCAAGCACTGTAACTCCAGTGATTTAGTCAGACCAGGACTAGTAGTTGTGCAGGGAAATGCCCAAAGAATCATTGGTTGCTTTTGTTGCTGTTTGATTTTGTTTTACTGTTTGGTTGTCCATCCGTGTTGAAATGAGACGGTAATAGAAATGCTGCAGCTTCTGGGCTGTGGTAACCTCTTCAGAGCAATTTTGTTACTCATCCTACTTCAGCTTTAAAGGAATCTGAAGTAAACTATCTATCCTGTAACAGGATACAGAGAATGTGGTAGGGGAAGGACAAACTCTCTACTTTTCCCAGACTGTACATGTTGCATTAAGTGTACATTTACATTTAGTGTAAAGGGATAAGGTTTTCCATAAATGTCTTCTGGTGATATACTGCCCTAAGAATATTTTGTTGATTTTTCTTTGAATGGAAGGAATGAAAAAGGATGGCCCACCTCTCAGTACTGAGGCTGGATTCCAGTTTTGGAACTTACTGACTGTTCCTCTCAGTAGTTACTGCATTAACGCTAATAGTGCATTCTTGTAGAAGCAGCTTTTTCTTTGAATGGAAGGAATGAAAAAGGATGGCCCACCTCTCAGTACTGAGGCTGGATTCCAGTTTTGGAACTTACTGACTGTTCCTCTCAGTAGTTACTGCATTAACGCTAATAGTGCATTCTTGTAGAAGCAGCATTCTCACCTGCTGCCTGCTCATGCATTTACTTGGTAGGAACTACCAGCTGTTGGGTTTTGCTTGCTGCCAGTCCAGCTGTTCTGCCTCCTGTGAGGCAAAGTAACAGGCCAGATGGAAGGCAGAAATAATAACTGGCTGTATTGTGCACACAAAGGATGTTCTGTTTTCTGCTGGATCAGTGTTCATATGATTCGATCCATATGACGAACAGTATACCTGCACGATCAACTGCAGTGTTCATGCACTTGGCCAAGTAGTTGAGCAGTGATGTATGGATGGTCTCTGTTGCTTGACAAGACAACATACAGAGAAGCTGGTGCGCTGGGGAATTCATGTTATCGAAGGTGTGATGCTTCTTTTTATTGTGTGACCCCATCAGGAATGAGTCTGGGTTTGGTTTTTGTTTTTCCATGGCGAGGGGGGTGTGGGTTTTTTTTGTCCATAGCCAACACAGGTGGAAAGGACAATCTGTTCTTTGCTCTTTCTTTGAGGGTTAGGCGAGGTGTTCGTGTCATGCATCTGTTTTGGTCAAAACATTGAAACAATGCAGTGGCTTGTTTGCTTTCTTGGTTTGCAGATACTTTTAGATATTTTTTTCATGTTTCAAAGATATAGTAGTTTTTAGTTGCAACTGAAGTACTGTGCTGCTGCTTATAAACAGCTAAGTAGTATCAAATTAATAACATTGAGTTACAACTTCTTAAGAAATGAGATATTGTTAACTTTAACTATGTAAAAGAATGTTGAAACAAAGGCACAATTCCATACTCCTATCTGTGTAAGAGTATGGAAATGAAAGAAAGGGTGTAAAGAGATGAGACAAATTTTGGACTGTGTTGGACTCAATAGACAAAAGTGTCATTAACTTTAGTAGACCAGAATTTCAGGCTAGGTAAAAGTCCTATTGCTGGAAAACCATTTGCAGGCTCTTAAAGTAAGATTGATTTTTGAATCTATACATTGATTAATTAATTAAAACTAGCAGAAATGCTGGGGGAGGGAGTCTTTCTCTTTGGATGTAAGAGTGGTCAAATCTCTTGTGTCCTGACATTTCAGGAACTAGCTCCTAGAGCAATCCATGATTCAGACCAGAGTGCTTGTAGCTAGGTGCTTAAAAAAAAACACATCTCGCTCTTCATGTTTTGAGACCAGGCTCTTCACAGAGGTGCTGCAATTCTTGACTGTTCTGGAGGTCTCTGGGAAAGAACAGTGTATTTCAAGGAGCTCACAGAATCTCTTGTGTCCTGACATTTCAGGAACTAGCTCCTAGAGCAATCCATGATTCAGACCAGAGTGCTTGTAGCTAGGTGCTTAAAAAAAAACACATCTCGCTCTTCATGTTTTGAGACCAGGCTCTTCACAGAGGTGCTGCAATTCTTGACTGTTCTGGAGGTCTCTGGGAAAGAACAGTGTATTTCAAGGAGCTCACAGTTGATGGATTTTTTTTTTTTTTTTTTTTGGAACACGGGAAATTGCAGATGTGTCTTTTTTTCTACCACTGAGATTTGTGTTTCTAAACATGGTTATGTGAGGCAGCCTTGTAGGTCATTAACAGTGATTCTGTTTTAACATGAATAAATCAACCTTTAGGGTATGCCTGTGCTGCTACAGCAGAGAAGTATAAAGATACCTGAGATACCTATAGCAGAGCAATATAAAAATATCTAAATTACCTTCCTTGCATGCTTGCAGCTTAGGAGTAATGGCTTTTTAAAACTTCATGCTAATTTACGCTGCATTGTAAATTAGCCCCTATGGAGTCCTGGGCTGGTTTGTACTGCAGCATAGGCGTGCTCTCAGTTTATTGCTGTTGAGATTGTGAGTAGAGTACTAATTACTTTTTCTCATGTTAAAAACCTGTTCACAGTTGTCTATCCTACCACCACCATCTCTACCCTCTCATCCACAAAGTAATGCTTCTAATTAATTAACTCATGCATGGTGCAAAATATGTAACAGGGTGAAAAGGGGGGTGTATGCACCTATAATAACCTATTATCTCTCTCTGATTTTCCACGCTTTTTATAAACAGCCTCAGTTGCTTTGCTAAAATCTTGCCCATTGTTTGAGTTCCCTCTTTGTTTTAAGAGGGCTGACAGTTTTGGTTTTGGAGTTGTAGGGTTTTGATTTTCCAGAATTGTCTTCTGTCAACAGTTCATTGGTCTTGCCCCTACCTCTTACAGCCCCTTCCTCTTCCTTGTGCTGCTCTTCCTGAATACATGTCACTCTATTTGCCCTCCCTTTCCTGCACATCTCTTCCTGTGTCCATCTATTTTAAATGTAAGCTTTGGTTTTGAGGAAGGACTGTCTAGTGCCGTGGAGCCCTAATACATAACTAGGGCTCTGAGGAACTGCAGGAATACATGTAATAATTAAAACACTACTTCTGATATTTTGCAGCTCTCCGCAAAGCAAATAATGAAGTGACTGCAGTTAAACAGCAGTCTGAAGGCCTTAGAAAAGAGTATGATCATCTGATGAAAGAATATGAACAGCTTCAGGTAAGTGGTTCTGCACAGTGTTCTGAAATTGTACCAACAAAATTCTGCTTGTTGGGTATGTATTATGCAAGTGAATTTACCAAAATCTTTAGTACAGCATAACGTTGAAATGGACAGCGTTCCTTAAACTTCATCAAAAGAGTAGAATTTTGGTTTTCAGGGACTGGATAGCAAAGCTATTAGCACTTTGGTTTTTGCACTTTGGGTATCAAAGTTCAGGTCATCACGAGACTCGATTTTGCTGTCACTGGGAAGTAAGATTCAGATAGTTTTGCACGTGATGACCAAACTGAAAATGGTAGAAGTTGTGTGTGTGTGGTATATACATCATTTATAAAAGTAATTTTGTTTGCTCTTCAAACATGCTTTTGTAACACTGGATTGTAAATGTTGCAATACTGTTGATATGTAAGAACAAAAAAAACCCAACAAGCAGCCTAGGTTAAAACCAGGCTACTGTAAAAATTCAAACTGAAGTACAAAATTTTAAAAAATGGTAAGCAAAAACTGAATTAGCAGTTTGATTGGATTTGCATATGTGCATGGCTATTTTACCCATAATATGTACAGTAGCTATTTCTGGTGGAGCTGGGAGCTCTGCCTGTCCTTTTGTATGTTCCATGCCTAACGTTTGTCTGAGAATTCCACCAGAGTTTAATAAAAATGGAAGTTAACCTGTTTGCAAGTAATGGTCTTGGAGAAAATAAATGATCGATATTAAAATTACGGTGACCTGCTTTTCAAGAAGAGCTATTTGTTGGTCCTGTGTTAATAAAAATAAAATTTTAAAAGGTAAATTAGAGCAGGTTATATTTTTTTTTTCCTGTACTCTGTGAAGCTACTTACTGATGCCCAGCCTCACCCTACGCTCACTGAGATTGCTCACCTGATCTCTGTGTTCGAATTAAGACCACCGTGCATGTCCGATCTTTGTTGTGCTTCCCTGTGTAATGAGCCGTAGTAGGCCTGCTGCATTTCTAACAGTCTTGTGGTCTAGAACACACATCCTCACAGTTTTCTGTGTTTACTTCTGAATGGAAAGAACAGAAGGTACTGAGTACATGTAGATGCAGCTCCTGGGGATAAATCAGTTGATAGCAGAAAGTGTTTTCTGCGGTTTGGTGCCGTAACGTGAATGGGGAGCAGACGTAGGCTGCACGGCTGTTCCTGTACTAGGATCAGAGCACCTGTGGTGTTACGTGGGGGAGTATCGATGGGGCTGCAGCTTTGAAGGGCGCACAGCGAACAAGTCAGGCATGACTGCAAGGGGGCAAAGTATGGCATCTGGAGCGGACAATTTCTCATCTTGCCAAACATAAAATTCTACTTTAAATCTGTCTCTTTTCAGGACACTTTAAATGAAGCAGAAGACAAGAAAGACCTGTAGGTGCATCTAAGACGGATGGAATTGGTACAATTGCTTCAATGTGAAAAGCCTTGTGCGGTTTAGGTCCTTGATGAAGATCTGAAACAAAACTTGATTTTTCTGAAGAGCACATGCACTGCAGGTCACTATTCAGATTCCTCTAATATATCTTGGTTGCCAAAATACTCTGTGTTGCAAATAAAATGTTAAGTGGTTTACCTGGTTTACCATGGAGTTTGTCATTGCTCTTGTGCGGAGAAACTCAAAAAAATCTTTCAGCAACTTGACTGTTCTCCAAGCTTTTGCCTTCCAGAGTGGTAATGGTTTGGGCACCTTTAGCTTGTAGCATTTCAGCAAGGTTGTATATCACACTATATCATAAAACCACAATTACCTAAACCTCCTTTGTGACCCTGTTTGGAGTCTTCAAAGGTTCAGTTACCGGTGGGTTGAAGAAGCTGAAAGCTTCCTTCAGGAGTTCCGCTTCAGTAGACAATTGAATGTCAGTCAATCTAAGGAAAATAAAGGAGGAAAACTGCGTTTCTAAATCCATCTCACCAGCTTGTGACTTTCATTTAGCCACATGGAAGACTGTATTTTAACAAATGATATTCTGCATGGCTCTGGTTTATTTTTCTTTTAACATATTGGGTTATTTCAGTATTCATAACCAAAGTTTTGGATTGTCTGGTATTAACATTCTGTATTTTTACACTGTTTACATCTGTTTACTGTGTATGTGCCACCTAACTTCTTTTGCCTTGCTAAGTAAAAATTCTTTTTAAATGTAGATAGTTGGGTTTGTTTTGTTTTGTTTTCATGGATACGATACCTCGAATAATTGTGCACTGTTTTGCATAAGCCCTTTTTGGCATTCAGAAAGTTGTTCTGAGTTTCTTTTTTGTTAGTTGGTTCCAGTTTATATTTGAAAGTTGGATATGTTTGTTATATTAAAGGGATTGTGTAAGTTCATGAGTTTCTGGGTTTATTCATATAAATCTTTCAAAGATGCTGTCTCATCAGAGTTAGTAGGCATATAGGCAAAGAATAAAATACACTTCTAACTTGGTGGTATTTAATTTTTTCTGGAAAATACAGCCACCTTCATAGGGGTATTGTTGATTGCTCTGGAAATAGGACTTGTTCTGTTTAGAATTTAAACATAGCGTATTAAATCCTATGGAGCATATTAACATAGCATATAGAATAAGAAGGCATGTGCTTTTAAAAAGTACTTCATGCTTTATGAAGTAGTACAGGACGTGTTCTCAGCAAGTCTACAACAGTGGAGATTTGTTTATTCCTATCAAAACTTTCAGGAAAAGCTACAGATTTTAATATGTGCATACACACAGGTTTGGGTGATTGCTTTCTTCTTCTTGCCCTCCTTCTGAAATATTTAAAATTACAGCAGAATGTTATCTCCATTCTGATCTAAAGACTATAATTGGAAGCTTTAGGGGTATAACAGTAAGTGCTGGTTTTAGAACCAAAACCTCACCTGTTTGTCTTACTTTAAGACCTAGAACAAAAGCAAATATTTTTTTCCTGTTGCTATCTGCACATCAACTATCAAATGTTTCTTCCTATAGTACAAGTAAATAATTATGTAGATAATTAGCAACTTACAATAAAAGACATCATGCACTGGCTTCTTCATCCCTAAAAATTTATTTTAGAAAACATATGGAACAAAAGCTGGGTAGTTGTGAATGCACTGATAGTACTTCTTGAGAAGGAAGTCCAAATGCTTTACAGTCATTTTTGCTGTAGAACAATTTTTTTAGAGCAAATTTTGCTGTAGAGCATGACCGAAGAGTGCAGGAGTACCGAGTGGCATATACTGCTCCTTCAGAAGCTGAAACGATGACTGGTATTTTTAAATGTGCAACATCTGTTCAACAGGTGGTACTTGCAGGCTGCTCTCTGTAATCACATCAGTCACCTCAGCCTAGCGGTGTCCTGTGGGCTGCTTGGAAGATGGGTGACCCACTTGGTGAGAGATCGAGGAGAGAACGGCTTACAAACCAGAGAATGGTTTCCTTCGTTAAAAATTAGCGTGTGCTTAAAACCCAGGGACTTAACACTTTGCCATACTCAGTTTTTGTGCCACATCCGTTATTTGTATCACCAGATTTCCCTGTCACAGAGTAGAATGTGACCATCATCGTTTTCCTACGTCTGTTGTGGATGGTCACGCACGTTTGTCATCGTGTGCTCGACTCTTTGGAGTCCCAGATTTGTTCACATAATCTTCTCTTACACAGATTGAAAATATTCTGTAATATCTGCTTTGTAGATCTGTATTCTTGGAAAGAATGTGGTTCTTCTGTAAAATTAGAAGTAGATGCAGAAATTCCAGTAGATGACAAGTCTTTCAGCATATTTTTCATTTGCATTGTTTCACAATACTTGACACATGTTCAGAGCCTGCCAGGATCTGCGTTGGTCAACTTGAAGTATGGTTTTCTTGTCGGTACCCTTT